CAGCTAAGAATAAGACCTATCTTTATTCCTAATATTTCAGAAATAAAGCAAAATTCTCTTATATATTGGTATTCTTGTATACACACATTCACATGAAATTTAAAAAAAATTTCTGGTACCCAGAGTAACCAAACCAGGTGAGCAGTAGTCTTTATAATTCCCTTTCACAAGGCTTACTCCTACCTGTTTTTGCATTTTTATATGAGGATCCTTTGTATTTTTGTTTGTTTTTCTGCAGTGGTGGGCTCCAACCTACAGCCCAGTGATGGCAAACCTATGGCACACATGCCACAGTGGGCTATTTGTATTATTGAAAGCTCTAAAACATTCACCATCACTGCCATAGCCTCTCACATGCCAATCAAGCACACTACCACTGAGCTATTCCCCTAGTCTGTTGTTTGCATTTTCTACCCTGCGATGGTTGACTCTTCTTCCATTTCTAGGGCTCCCATGGCAAAAAGCGCATCCAGGTCCCAGGAGAAGAAAATGGTGTTGAATAGGAGAAGGTTAGTGACTTTCTTATTCTCCTTTCACTCTTCAATGCTCATAATCTAACTTACGAATTCCCAATGCAATATAACCACAGAGGGATTAGTCAAGGATCATCTCTAATACCAAAGTCATGAAAACTCCATGAGCCTTCTTCCTTAGGGTTTCTGGCTAGGTGGCTCGTACTGATGCTGAAGGAAATGAGAAATGAATGAAAGATGAGGCTCTTCCATGGCCCTACCCCACGCCGTCCACAGCTGGGTAACCGGGGACATGAATCTAGGGACAAGTACATTCATTTAGGCCCACAAAGATAGTTTCACCAGAATTGGAACCTGGTAGGGAGTTTTTTATAGAAATCCAGCCCACTCACCCAGCCTGATCCTGCCAGGAACCAAGTCATGGGACTTGCCCAACTGACTGCCAAGACAGCCCATTCATTCAACTTCTGCTTGACTAGTGACTGTATCCAGTAAAGGTGCTGGTTGTCAGGGTGCAGTGACTATCAAGACAGCAAAGTCCTTTCTGGGGCTGGAGGCGTCCTTCCGTCTCAAAAAAAAAAAAAGTAATCCCTTGAGGAGTCAGTTCTATGATGAGGTAGGAGGGGTTTCTGGGCAGCTAGGTAAAGGTAGGGAAGAACTTGGTAGGTTCCAGGACTGGAACAAGACTAGGGTGGCCTCCAGGCAGTGGATGGGATGTGGCAAGGATGCTGTGAACGTCCAGGAGATTGAAGGCCATGGTGAATGGCACGGATGCCACTCAGAAGGCAGCAGATACCTGCACAAGTTCGAGCAGAGTAGAGAGGTGAGGTTGGGCTTAGGTAAATCTTTCTTCCTTCCTCCCCTCTCCAAAGTGTCCCTGTCCTCCTTCCCCATCTCCTCCAAAAGTATCAGTCCCCTTGGTTTGTAAGTGACTTTTAATCCTAAGAGGTAAATAAATGTCAGAAGACACGCTCAGGACTGAGTGCCGGTCTGATGAAAAAAGCCTTAAGCACAAGCCTTTCTGGCCACATGATCGTGGGTATTGGCTGGCGGGTGGGAGAGAATTGGTGTTACATTCTTTAATCATGGACTGTTTTCTCAACTGGGCACACACCTCACAGTGTCAGAATGGCCTCACAGGAAGCTGAAGAAGCACCTAGAGACTAGTGTCCTGGGGCTGAAGACTAGGGTCTTCATAGAAAGAAGGGATCCTTCAGTTTCCTGGGCCAAAGCCCACTTCACACAGGCTCTTCTGGAGGACACACTAAAGTGATTTTCTTCACTTTCACTGCTTTGAATGATGCGATAAATGAGTTATGAATGAGTTCCAACTTATGAATGAGTTCCATTCTGGGAGAACATTCGTAAGTCAGATTCATTCTTAAGTTGGACTTGTTTGTAAGTTTGCCAAACTGAGTCTTACACACCTTTGACACAAATGTACAATGTAAAGCATAAACGAAACAAAACAAAAAACCTCCATGTCACCACTGCTTTTCCTCTTGCTTCCAGCCATAGTGGGCTCTGATTGAGCACTGCACTATTTACATCATTGCACTTACAGTAGCACAACATGACAATGTCCCGCAGACACAAGTTACTTCTGTGATTTCTTCACATCTATGAATGTTTATAATGCGAGGTCCATTTGTATCTGTGAAAGTTTGTGATTCGAATATTCCTAAGTTGGGGACTTACTGTAATGGCACCTCACCCTGTTTTTCCCTCACTTGACCAACCTGTGGGAAGGGGAAATGAGTGGAGAAAGAGCCTGCAGGGCTCAGTTTATCCACAAATTAGACACCAAATCTTGGTGTCCTCCGAAGTGATCTGTTTCATTTTCATGAGAAATAAACCTAACCTTTGAATGGCTACCCTGAAATTCATTGCATTGTCTCCCTCTTGGCCTTATCTTGCAGAACTTTAGTGGTTTTTTTCCCCCTCAAATGTCTTGTTCTCTTCCAAATCTTTGAAATCTTACCATGTAGCTATTACAGTCTATCTTTTGAATTATGGAAATTTTAATGCAACAAAGCAATCACCTCTTGCCTGAAGACAGCGTCAGATATTATCAAGCAGATCTGATACCCCAAGAAATTTCAACTCTCTCTATCCATCCTCCCACACCCTTTGCCCGGCCCCGCCTCCCCACCACCAGCCCTTCAAACATCAGCCTCAACTGGGAACCCCTTGAAGTCACCTGTGTCAACCGTTCAGCTCCCACTGACCCATTTCCTGCCTCCGCAAGAGGGGTGCCACAGGGATGTTCCATCTGTTCTGTGAAAAGTTAAATGTCACACTCCTGTTTACTTGCTTTGAGTCTTCCGGCCATGGTGCGTGGGGAAACTTACCTGTCTCCGTCAAACTCCTTCCCCCTCCCCATCTGTGGCAAATGGCCCTTCTTGTGGTGGTTGCTCATGCCTGACCTCAGCTTCTTCCTGTGGCAGGGCTTCCTATTGTCTTACTAACAAAGGCAGCAGCAAACCGCACTAGGAACTTACTATGAATGAGGCTGTCTTCTCCTTACCTGTGGATATCTTGATTCATCAAACGCTCACATGGTGCATTTGAGGTCCATACAATCATGAACCCTATTTTAGAGATAAGAAAACTGAGGCATGGAGAGATTAAGTCAACTGTCCAAGATCACCCACCTACTAAGAGGCAACATCTACATCCTTAACCACAGGGACTTTTACTTCTCTGCTTCTCATTACCTTTTTTTCTATTTAGCTCCTATTTAACTGAATTCCACTAATAATTATTACTTGGTCTACTGCTGTGTTGGGTGGTTGGGATTCAAGGATGACCAAGTTGAAATAGGCTGGCCGTGCTTGGAAGGGGCCAAGGTGCCATGGGAGGACTTAGCCGGGTGAGTCGGAGCCTCTGCTGCCTTCTCTGTGACTTATCAGTGGGCATACAGCATATCCTGTGTGCCGTCAGCCTCTCTTCCACTTCAACATACTATTTTGTTTGCTTCCTCTGTCTCATTGTTTGGTTTTTGAAACTTCAGTTTCCTTCCCGTTTGTCCCAGGAGAGCAGTTTTTTAACTTAACTGTGCATTAGCATCTCCAGTACGGCAGCAGCTGGCCGGCCTTCCTCCAGGGTACCAGTGGACCTATTTCTCTGTCCCATGCCCTCAGAGGTGGTGGGTGGCTGCATTTGGCCAATGGAGTGGGGATGGAAATAATGTCTGTTGAGTCCTTCTTCCCCTCTCCTCTCTCCTAGCTGGATTCCAGCATCCAGACAAGGACACTGCGGGGATCCAATGTCCACACCCATTTGAGAATCACAATCCAACGCATTTTTGCTAGCCACTACGTCATTACCTTTACTAGGGCAGGTTCATCTGGCTTGATGTTTCTTGGGTTGCTTACAAACACAATGTTATTTTTGTTCTTTAATTTCTCTTTAGGAAATATTCTTTCAGTAGCGTTTGCTACTGGCTTTATACACAAGCAGATAAAAGCTGAGGGTATCTGAAAGTCCTAACAGGAACTGAGCCACCCAAAAAATATATTTTCCTCTCTCTGAGGACTGGAATCATATCATGCTATATGAAGACACAGACATTGAGAGTGACTTTGGACCTGTGGGCTTTGCTTTTGATAATAAAATAACAGCTATTATTTTGAGAGAATTCAGTAAACATAAGCACACGTATACGAGTATAATAATATTTGAGCATTTAATGTGTGCCCAGTACCACGCTAAGCACTCTCCTTGCAGTAGCTCATTTGATCCTTGCAGCAGCTGTAGGCAGCAGGCATTACTCTCATTACCCAGGATAAAATGGGAGGCGGACACGGTGATGTGAAATTATTTACTTAGGGTCACCAGAGAAGGAGCAGCACAACCAGGACTGAAAGGCCATTTGACAACTTGGTGTAGCTTCCCTAGCCCCAGGCCCTGGCCCAGCTACCTCCTGGTTCCACACTCTCTTTCTGTGACCTTTTTCAATCCAGACCTCTGTGCATAATTTCACTCCCTGGCCCACTGCTCACCACAATTTCTGCAATTAAAATTTAGTCAATTTGAACAAAGCCCCTGGACTTTAGGATTCTGTCTAGTTTTGGGCAGCTTGAGAGTCCCATCACCTTAGGAACAAGATTTTTGGCTGAAATGGGATCCCTGAAGGTAAGCAAATTCAGGAAGGAAGCACAGTGCTGTGAAGGCAGCTCCTGCCATCCCCTGCCCTGCCCTGCCCTCCCCAGCTCAAGCCGTGTTTAGCCATTACTATCCTCACGGGCCGACAGAAATGTTTAATGTTCTCCTTAAAAATTATAGGGAACTCCAAAGTAAGGAAAACAACTGCAGGATTGCAATTATGGTTTGATTAAATGTCTACAAAAATGGCATGCTAAATTCATGACTAAATTGGGACTTCATAAAAAATGCATGATGCTTAAAATCAAGAAGTCTTACTTTTCTTACTTTGCAAAGGTTTACTAGTTTGCATACTGGTCATGAAGAAAGCACAGCCCATTATTGTAAATTGAGTGTATTCTTTGGAAGCAAAGTATTTCAAAAGCAGAATTATAAAAGTCAAATGTTTTACAGCCAGAATACTAACAAATATTACTTAGGCACATTGGTCAAACTCTTAACGCATGAGATGTGGATGATTTTTATTATGTTTGATAGGCCATGGGGTGGAACTTCCAAAAAAAAGAATCTCCTAAGTCATTTGGAATGATACCACCAAACTTGAAAGAGCTCAGTGTGGGGAAGACACAGAGCTTGAAGGATGGGCCTGGTGGGGGTATCCCTGGGCCCTCTCTTGAATGAAATGTTGTCCTTTCTCAGGAAAGGGTGGCCTGTCTCAGGCAAGGGTGACTAACATGTCCAGTAAGATTCCAGCTGCCAAGACTGAAAAGAAGACAGGAAAAGTCTGCTTCCCATTTTCCCTTCCCCACGGGAGACTTGGATGCCCTGATTTCTCAAGGAGGGAGAATAAGAGGGGCTGCAAAACCCAGTGTTCGTTTTCTCCCCTTCACTGAACTGGGGTGTGCATTTTCCTTATTCAGTGCTGGCTCAAGAGTTCATTTGGACTTGGAGGAATGACAAATTCACATCCATTTTCTTCTCAAAGTCCTGGGTGGGAGAAGGAACCAAGCACTGTCTCCCCCATGTCAGGGCTGGTGCAGGGGGAGCTCTGTGGTTCTGTGATGAAACTGGTTGGATGAGTTAATCAGGGCTAGCCTTTGTGCTTGGTCTCAGCTTACACCTCTTGATGCAGCGGGAAAGATCCAAGGCGCCCCAGGAGTTGGGGCCCGGGCCTTGATGTGACGAAGTCTCGGGACCTCAGTTTTCTCATCTGCAATGAGAATAATTTCTACCAGTTCTACAGTTTCTCCTATCAGAAACTGTAGGTTAGAATAGAATCATGGATTTGAAATTACTTTAAGAGGTTTAAACCATTGCTAGTTAAAGTGTGGTCCTCAAACCTGCAGCCGCATCACCAGAAGCTTATCAGACATGCAGGACATGCCCTGGCCCTACAGAGCTGGAATCTTTGAGTTAACAGCTCCCTGGGGCTTTGGATGCAAATTAAAGATCCAGAAGCAATGACTTTAAAAATTGCAAATCATATCTTTTCAGAGGTCACTAGCTAATGATTTGTTGAATGTTGCTGTCTTTTCCACTTGCTCTGTGAGGTCAGGTCCCACTTGGTTTGTTCTTCTCGTTTTTGTTCCTCTCTGTTTTGACCCAGTATCTGGCACACAGTGAGTACCCCATTAATATTTGTTGCATTAATTAATAAGCCTTATAACCGTGTAACTGCACCCAGGGGGTGGTCAGAATAGACAGGATGCTAAACTTCTACCCGAATGAGAGATGCCAAGCCACTTGCATTTGGCACCTGGTACAAAGCCCAGTGTAGTAGCCCAGAGGTTCACAAACTTGATCTTGTGTCAGGATCCCCTGGAGGCCTTGTGAAAATTCAGATTTCCAGGCCTTGCCCGAAGCTCCTGACTCCATAGGGCTGGAACAGAATGCATGATGTGTATTTCTAACAAACTCCAGCTTTTCCTGCTGCTGCTGCTCCAAGAACCCCAGCCAGAGAACATGACCTGGCATATTGATAACACTGACAAAAATATCAACTTAGCAAAAAGCATTTTGAGACCAAAGGATGTGGCTGCTGTTTCAAGCTCTGGCATGCTTTTTGGGGAGCAGCCTGACATGGGGCACAAAGGATAGGATGGTGCTGGTGGCCATTTGGGGCTTAAAGTTATATATGAGGGTCATTTGTGTAATTCATTGAGGTTTCACTTTTCCTCCCCATTCCCAGACTCCTGGATCATCAGCAGTGGGGTTCAGGTGCCTGTACCTTGCTCTGTGGGCTTGCTTATTATCAAATAGTAACATCAATGACAATCCATTTCCTATCCAGCCGGCCTTGAATTAAGTACTTTACATTTATTTTTCTCATAAAACCGGTCACAAGAGCCCACAGGGTAAGAATATTAGTTTTTCACTGCTGCTGTAACAAATTACAACAAACTTAGTAGCGTCCCCTAACAAATGTGTCATTACAGTTCTGAATGTCAGAAGTCTGTCTCATGGGGCGGATATCAAGGTGCTGGTAGAGGTATATTTCCCTCTGGGAACTCTGAGGAGGATCCATTGTGGAGCCTTTCCATCTTCTACCGCCTGCCCACATTCCTTGTTGACAGCATCTTCCTCCCTCTTTAAAGCCAGCAACACTGAGTCTGGGTCTCTCTTCAGTAGTCTCATCTCCTGCTTCTCACGTCCACTTTTAAGGAGCCTGGTTATATTGGACCCACCTGGGTCACCCAGACTAATCCTCCTATTTTCAGGTCAGCTGGCTAGTGACCTTAATCCCCTTGCACATTTCCAAGTTCCAAGGACTGGGATGTGGCCATCTTTGAGAGGCTCCTATTTCCCTCTATTTTGGAGATGGGAACATTTAGTTCAGAGAGATCAGGCATTTCCTGAAGTTAGGAACTATAAGGAGCTCTTTTCACCTGGGTTCCCTCAAAAGCAGAGTCTAACATCAAAGCCCAAGAGCGATTCCTTTCCTAGGGAGTGTGAGCCCATGAGTGGGAGGCACCAGGATCAAATTGGGGAAGGAGGAAGTGTTTCAAAGACTGGCATCCAACTGGCCCTCCCAGGGGTACGTGTTACCGGGTCACCCCTGTGGGAAGCGGGTTGTCCCTGGCCACTAACTGCCTGGGGGAGAGGAGGTAAACTAAGAGACAGTTGAGGCAGAGACTCTGAGGCATGCCATATTTACCCCAGGCGGCTCTCCTGACCCTGGACAGCTGAATCCAGGCTGCGTGTCTTAGCCCTGCCACCACAGCAAGGTGTCCCTGGTGATGAAAATGCCATTCATATGGTAGCCCTGGCCTCCCTGAGAAGGCCAGCTCTGCTCCTGTCATCACTCTTGGGAGCATCCGGTACCTGGAACCTCCTCATTCAGGCACAGGCGCCGGAGTCTTTCCCCGAGACCGCTGGCTAACCACGCCCACTGGGTTTGCCCCGCCCTGTGGGTAGGCTGGGGGGTGCTTTGCAAGGGTGCTCCTCGTGGTCAAACCACACCTATAGCTTCAAGATAGGTCCAACCATTTAAGAAGGTGATGTGGTAACAGTGACCAAAAGGTGCTGAAAACATAAAGCTTTTGGTTTTTTGGACATTTCTCCCATAGAAATAATAAAGAACATACACAAGACTGACAGCGTTGCTCGTGTCATGGTGTTGATGATGGGAGGATGGAAGAAAATCTCTTTGTAGAGTGGAAACCTACCAGCTGGCCACGCTGTTTTAGGACCATGTAGGATGTTTCTAGCACATCATCGGTCCATGCAAGTGGTCCCCTTTTTACCTTCTATTGCCTAGATGAATTCCCAACACTTGTGCAATGAATGTGTTTGGCTTTTGTTTTGAGGGGAAAGAATGCCTATTTCTTATTAAAACTAAAACCAATCACTCCTCTCTGCTTCACAGCTCACCTGACAGGTGCATCCCTGTTACCTCCCATGTCTCTGCCTGCAGCCCCTGACGTCTCCCTGAGCAGACCCAGCCATTCGCTGAGGATTCCCACATGAGTATCCAAAGGCCTCCCAAACTTCCCATGGCCCCTTGTGAATGCTCCTCTTCTAGCCACCGAGTCAGTCATTGTTGGTGCTTGTCTTTCTTATCCGGACCCTGACTCTCCACTCCCTCTCATATCCAGTGTGACTCCATCACTACATCCCACCCAGTTTCCTTCCAGATTCCTCACTGGGACCTGCCAGGCCCATGCCTCTGGCCCTTCCTCCCCTTGCAGCCCACTTGGTGCCTCTCTCCCTTGCTTTCTTCACTGCAGTTCAGGCTGAGAGTTGGCCAATATCTTTCTTCCTCTGCTCCCTCTGCTTGAAAAGTGTCAGCTCCCTGCCCCTAGGCCTGTGCACCCCGCTCCCACTGTCCTGCACAGCACGTCTTAGCAGTCACTTTCAGGGACCTGCTCCTTGGCCCACATGGAAAGTCCTCCCTGTGTTATTCCCGGCCAGTGCCCCTGTTCTGCCAGCTGCCACACTACAGCAGCACAGTGGTAGGGCTTCCGCCATGGCCTCAGCTCAGAGCGAAATTCCAGCCAGTTTTGTTCAATCTCACCTATATCTCCATGTCCACCGAGGTGGCCAAGGCCCCTTGCCTCAGTCAAAGGACCTGGAACTCCTGATGAGATGGGAGCCAGGTGTGCTTGAGTCTGTGCAGGGGGCCCCTCTGGGGCAGCCCACCCCTCCCTCCCCCAGTCCTCCCCACAGAAGGAACCTTCCCCTCCTTCTGTGAAGACCTTGCCTATCCTCCTCCACTGCCTCCCTGTTCTTACTGCTACACCGTCTTCACTTACTCTCTTGAATCCAAGCCTGGGCTTATGTGGTCTCTGGGAGAGGAAAACCAGCCTCAGCAAGCTGCTTGCCTCCAAGGTCTCCCTGTGGAACCAGGAGGTGTGCTGCTTTTCACCTTTCTTTCTGCTTTGTTGTGTGTTGACTTGGTTGGTGCACCAGTGAGAAGGAGGATAGAGATGCACTATAAGGAAAACAGCCCTGTTAATACTTGCCATATAATCCTGTCCCATATCTATTTAAATGTGTTTACTGGATGTATTAGTCAGTTTTCCTGTCACTGAGACACAATATGCAACACCCACAATTTAAAGGAGGACAGGTTTAATTTGGCTCCTGGTCTCAGAATATTCAGTCTGTGATCAGCTGGCTCTGAGGCAGAAACATCATGGCAGAAAGGTGTGGCAGAACAAAGCTACTTGGTTCATGGCAGCAGGGAAGCAGCTCAGGGGAACAGCGCCAGAGAGGAAGGGGAGAGGGACCAGACACAAACTCCAAGGCTACATCTCCATGACTGTCCAGACACATCAAATGTGCTCCACCAACGCCCTGGGTGAATCCCAAAGCCGATCAAGCTGCCACTCCGCCCTAACTGCCACACTGCTTTACCATTTGACACCTTGTGTGGTTGAACAATGCCCTTCCACCCCAAATTCATGTTCCTCTGGAACCTCAGAAAGTGAGTGTTTTTGGAAATAAGATCTCTACGGATGTAACCCTTTAAGATGAGGTCATGCTGAATTAAGGTGGGCCCTAAATCCAAGAAGACTTGAGGTCCTTGTAAGAAGGAGATTTGGGCACAGAAACATAGGCACACAGAGGGGAAGTTAGGTGAAAACAGAGGCAAAGACCAGGGAGGAAAGCCAAAGATCGTGAGCAACCACCAGAAGCTGGAAGAGGCCAGGAAGGATTCTTCCCTAGGGCACTAGGGCAACATTTTAGACTTTCAGTCTTTCAAACTGTGAGACTGAAAAAAAAATCTGTTATTTCCAACCAGCCGCTTAGTGATCCTTTGTTAGAGCAGCCACACGACATGAGTAGACACAAGACTTGAGGGTCCTTGAGGCCAGGCCCGAGGTTTGTTCACTGTTGGGCTATAGGTCCCACCACAGTGCATAAATGGTCCTCAATCAATTTTTGTTGAATGAAGGGAACAGGGCTGAGGTGATTTGCTTGATTTCCTGGAGGAGAACAACAGCAAGAGAGTGAGACGTTGAACTTGGCTCACCCTTCTTAGTCTCACTTCCAGATGTTGAAATGACTATTTTTGGTGAATGCAAATTGTAGCTGTGGCCAAGCCTGCAAATGCACATGCTAAGCCAGGGTTACAGTCACGGGAGTTTATTTTTAAAGTGACCATGCCTGACCGCCAGGCTCAGAAGCCTGCAGATTTAGACCTTCCTCGTTAGGGCCACCAATCAGAGAAAAGCCACGTGCTCTAAAGTGGAAGAGGTCCTCAGCCTTCCTTTCTCCACTGCAGCTGAGGTAGGCCTTCCCCGCCCCCATCTGTCGCCTGCACACTGACTGCTCTTCGGCACGTTTGACTCACCCAAATCCTAAGCTATTGCTGTTGGCTCAGCGCTGCATTTTCTTGAATTAAATTATAAGCGTTTAAGTGTGGCATGCCGCCCATGGTGTGGCGCTTGGGCCAGCTCTCCCACGAAGCAGGGCACTCTTCCTAACCCCTGGCTCTTCCTGAGAAGGGCCCAGAAAACATTCTTCAGAACGGCTGGGTCTTTGTTTGCTTTTCCTGATAACTGAACCACAAGAAAGCAGCGATCAGCTGGTACGATGTGGCCCGCCAAAGATTGGGGTTCTCCTTTGTCTTGGAGCTATCCCCGGCTCCTGGGTTAAAAACACTCCACTCAATGATTCAGTCAGGATTTGAAAGTAATAATAACGAGGATGAGAAAAATAATATTGACCTGGTGGGTCTCAGGGGAACTTTGTGTTTTTCATTTTCACAGATTGTGTTTTTCTCCTTTAGTCTTTATACCAATAAAAAATGATTGTGCCACCATCGAAGCAAACAAACACCTGTGTTACTGTTTGTCCCCAAATTCGCTCACCCTGCACCCAGGTGAGGACTTCCCCACCTGCTGACTTGTGCCAATGGGGAACCGAAAACCTAGAGGTGATTCTGGAAACACCAAGGAAGAGTGCTGGTGAGGAAGAGGGCACAGATTGTGTCACAGAGCAATTTTACCCCTACAGCTGCTGCATCCCCTCCCCTCCTCGTTCTCATCTTCCCTTGCCTCTCCTCTCGCTCAACTTCCTGTCACGCTGCTCTTCTTCCAGCCCCTCCGCTGCCCCAGCTTCTCTCATTCAGGAAATTTGGCCTTGGCCTCGCTTTTCTGTTTGTTCTCTCTACCCATCACCCCACACGGCCCAAGAGCTGAGCCGGCTGAGCTAATGAGGTGTGCTTCCTTCCTAGAAAGCACCTGGCTTTCCCCTCAAAACCCAAAACCTTTGCCAGATGGACACAACCACGCCTTTGGTTACATACCTGATGATCTGGGAGGACTCTGGGCTGGCCTTTGTCATCCTCCCCTCTTCCTGTGAGGTCAGAGAGCTAGGGGTGGGGTAAATGGGATGGGAGATGGCCAGGACTTCACTGTGCACTGCACTGAGGCTCCAAAGACTGTTACTTAGGTTCATTGGACCGGGCAAGCATTTCCCCCGGGAAGAGTTGCATATTGGGATTTGCACAGATCCAGCAAGACTAAAATGTGTGTGGTGGGGATGGAGGGGGTGTGGTAGGTAGCTTTGGGCAGGTAAAATACTTCATGAAAAATTAATATTTTTCAAATGAGTTAATTTAAAAATTCATGAATGGGAAATGGATCTGGGAATGGAGAGAGAGGTGAGAAGGAGACAAAGTAAAAATGATTAAGATGGGATATGTATATGTACTAATTCCCCAAGATGAATTATTGTATTGCAAACATATACCAACAAATAAACAGAATTCAGAGAAATGTCATGTTTCTATGCTATTCTGTGGGAAGTTGGTGAGAAGCGCTCCCAGGAGGCAGCACTGAAAACTTGGCTCCTTGACAAGCCCAGGGGTGCTGCAGATGGTGTCCCTGAGCCTTACACCCTACAAACCAGGACTGGAGGCCTCAGACTTTAGCCACTCAGCCTGGAAGGACAGACCTGTGGCCTCTGCAGACGGGGCCTGTGTGTCTAATGCCTTCAAGGCACGGGATTTAGCTGAGGTCCAAGGTGGGGAGGGCAGCCCAGGGGTCAGATCAGGCTTAACAGTGGGCATCCTGGTGGAGGAATTGCAGCACAGTGGCGGGCAGGTGGCTGAGTTGCAATGTGGGCAGTTATGCTTGTGCCTAGGAGGACCTCAGGTGGTGCTGGTGGGTTTCAAAGGAGCATTGAATCCTCCAAAGAATGGTGTAGAAGACGTTGGTATGGTGTTGGGCTGGACAAAGCTGGCTGCAATCCAGGAACAGGCCTCAGCCTATGTAGAAAAGTTAGTTGGTACAGAAGTCTGGTCCTCCGAGCTGAGCCCACGCAACTGGACCTGGAATGGTACTGATTTAGATGGTCCACATATACCCTCAAATCAGTTTCTCTCCTTCTTTTTCCTTCCTTCCTTTTCTTCTTTCACTCACATTATATGCCAAGCCATTTCCTAGGCAATGAGGCCACCATGAGATACAGCTTCTGTCCTTGTGGAGCTTATAGTAAATGCAAAATAATAGTTAATTCATAATGATGTGATTATGACTGTGGACAGTGTTCCAAGGAGGTACAGCATTTAACAGCAGTTAGAGGGAGGCAGAAATGGGCTCAGCAAGGCTTCCTTGGGGAATAACATCTAAGCTGAGACCTCAAGGATGAGAGATTAGCCAGGCAAAAGGGAAGGAGGGTAAGAGGGAGAAGAAGAAGATTCTAGACCAGCAGAACCGCTAGAGCCAAGTCACCACAGCAGGAATGGCATGCTCTTGGAACTTTCTAGTGAGAGTGAGTAAAGGGGGTGGGGTGTGAGACAGCAGGAACAGATCATGGAAGACAAGTCTGGGGCTGCTCGTGGTGAGCTGAGATGACCTAAGTTTCTGAGTGGAGCTGAGTCCTCGGGTGTGATAATGATGACACTAATAACTGCCTCATTTAAGGCACTTTCTAGGTGCAGCATGTTTTATATGCCTCACATTATCAGTCTGCACAAGCTCACTCAAAGATTAGTACACTTATCTGCCCATTTCACAGATGAGGAAAACAAGGGTTAAAGAAAGTGATGAACATGTTGAAGGCTTACAGCCAACAAGCAAAGGGACTCGTGCTTGACCCATGCCCTACCCAATTCCAAGGCCCTTGTTCTGAGGGTCTTAGGATACCCTCAGCTCTTGCCGAGATGGGCTGGGGATGATGTCCCTAATGCATTCGCTCCTCTGAGCCCTGACATGGGTGGGGAGAAAGAAGCAGGGTGGGGGGCCAGGATGAGGTGGCTGGCAGTGGAGAGAGTTGTTGGGGAGGATTCCGGGGTGGAGGTGGAGGGTCCTCATGAGCGCCTTCGTATGGATGAATCACTGGTGGGCTGAAGATTAGTCAGGCAGGCAGCACTGCTGTGGAGGCCCTGCGCTGGTATGTGTTCAGCCTGAAGCTGTGAGCAGGGGCTGCATTTTTTTTCTCTCTCTCATGGTGACACTGTGAACCAGGAAAGGCAAGTCAGTTTTTGCGGATGACTTTTAAATGAAAAAACATCTTTTTCTCTCCTGATTGCACATGGCTTGGAGGATTGTGGAAGAAGGACAGAAGTCAGAGAACTTAGGAAACCCTTGAGCAGATATGGCCAAAGCCAGCCTGCCCCACCAGCAGAAGAAACTTCCCACCCTGTCTGGCAGGCTGTCACCTGGAGATGATTCTAAGATAGGGAACAAATTTATCACAAAGATAACTGGGGGACTTTCTGGGCAGCTCTCCTTGTGCTTCATAGAAACTCCCAGGCCCCTTGAGTGTAGTACATTTGGAGAAAACCTAAGACAAGCTTTGGTGAAATGGATGTCAAAATGGCAAAGCCAAGAACCACTGTAGCGTTTAGGAAAAGCCAGTAATGTCCCCTCTTGTGGTTAACATTCCTACTTTACTTATGCCCATTGGAGTGTTCCCCTGTGATGTTCAGGGTGTCTGGCTATGTGACTTGATGTTAGTGGTCCAGTTTTAATTGCTGTTCAAATACTTGGAAAGAGATAGACTGCTTGACCTGGAAGGAACTTCCATTAATTTGTCTCCTCAAATTTCCAAGAAAGTGCCAGGCATTTATTTAGGCTGATTATATGTTATCTCTAATTGTCCTTGGATTGTTCCAATTTTTTTTTGTTCCAATTTTTGTAGTTAAGATTAGGATGTCATCTTGTCCAAGGTCAACAGTTATTAGCACCATTTCTGTGGCTGACAACAGTTCTTCCTTCTCCTGTGAATCATTAGTTCAGCAAGGACTAGGTGTAGAAGGCTATAAAAGAGACCTCTGAGTCTCACAAAGACAGCTCTGAATCAGCTTCTGCAGCTGTAGTCTCAGCTTGAAGAAGCAGCATGGTCAGTGGAAGGAGCTCTTGGTTTCCCTGTGCAAATCCATTTCCCAGGACAGGGTCTTTAAACTAACTCTCTTTCAGCCTAGTTTTCCTGGACAGGTCAATAGAAACAATTAGGCTGTCCTCGCTCACTGTTGTGAAGATCACATGAAACAATATACAGCCAGATAGAGGGCAAGTTTTAATTACCTTCCTTGTATATAGTTTTTGGTATTCTGCAACTTTTCCAAAGCATGTAGGGATCACTAATATCATCAGATTGTTTTAATTAAAAAAAGGAGATTTGCATGTCTAAAGCTTTGGCTCCTGTACATGGCACACAGAAAGCCAACATAAATCTTAACAGATTAAGACTCAGCAGGAGACAGACATGTCCAAGCAAGTCTGAGCACTGGAGGAGCTGGCCCACAGTGGCCATTTGAGCATGACGGTCTGAGGTTCCTCCTAGGACAGTGTTTGTGCTGATGAAAGAGACCAAATTTCCCAAATTTGATCTAGAGCAAACATGGAGAGGCCACGTGTTTCGCAGCACAGCCCTGTGTCTGTCACATAAACTGGCCCCAACTCTATTTCATCCCTGGTTTCAGCCTACATAGATTCCTCCCTGAGCTCTGGGGAGGGAATGACAAAACTGAAAAGCCATTTCCTACAATCCCAACTAGAATTTGAGAACTTCAGGCAGTCCAGCTTAACCTCATAACCAAGTGTACGTAGGGAGAAAAGAGGGACTGTCCCGTCCCTGTCCCCAGAAGGTGTCCCCTGGGGTCTGGTGAACCAGGCCCAGGACCTGAGAAACAGCTGGTTGGTGTCAGAGTGCCATCACCCATCAAGCTTTTATGATAGGGAGAAAACAGAGGAGGAACTCAGCAGCCACGTGACACCTAAGGGTGTTACCTGATTCTATGTGGGCCATCTCCCCAGGGTGCCAGCTCTACCTAGGGGAAAGTTTTGGAGATCTCAGGGTGTAGCCGAAAAGTCACCTGAGGCATATTAGGCCAAGGATTGAGCCAGGCAGGGCCAGATCTCCTGAGTGGGAACATCTGCCCTATTAGCTGTAGGTAAGTGACTGCTGTTTTCCTCTACTGTGTTTTCTTTGTGGCCTTAGCAATGGCCATGTCAACAAGTTACCTTTAAAAAATGCTGACCAGGCAATGCTTTGGGGGAATGAAAAATCAAGAAATCCCCCTCCTCTGTCTCAGACACACACACACACACACGCACTTTTTGTGTATGGCACTGGGGATTGAGCCCAGAGTCTTGCATGTGCTAGCCAAGAGATCTACCACTGAACTACACTCCCAGCCCTCAGCTATACTCTTTCATTCATTTAAAAAATTGTGATAAAATATCTATACCATAAAATTTGCCAATTTCACTATCTTTCAGCATGCAATTCAGTAGCATTAATTAGGTAAGTAAGGTTGCACAATGATCTCTATGTTCTGTTTTCCCAAAATTTTTCATCACTTCAAATAGAATCTCTGTAACTGTCAAGCAATAACTCCCCGTTCCCTCTCTCCCCTGACATTGCCAACCTTAATCTACTCTCTGTCTCTATTAACTTAGCTATTTTGAATATTTCATGTAAGTCAAACCATACGATATTTGTCCTATCTGTGTCTTGCCTGTATCATTAAGCATGTTGTTTTCTAGGATCACCCATACTGTAACATGTGTTAAAACTTCATTCTTTTATAGGGCAGAATAATATTCTATTGCATGTATGTAGCACGTTTTGTACATAGAACCATTATTCAGCCATTCATGGACACTTGGGTTCTTTTCAGCTTTTGGCTATTGTGAATAATGCTGCAATGGACATTGGTGTGCACATATGTGAGTCCAGTTTTCAAATCTCTTAGGCATATACCTGGGAGTAGAATTGTGTAACATTCTCCATGTAACTTTGGAGGAACCTTCTGTTTTCCACAGAACTGCACCATTTTTATATTCCTACCAGCAATGTACACGTGTCCCAACTTTTCCATATTCTTGCCAATGCTTATTTGTTTTTTGAAAAAAGTATTGTAGCCCCCCCCCCCAGTAGATATGAGGTAGTACCTCATTGGGGTTTTGATTTTTTTTAAACTAATGATGTTGAGCGTATTTTCATGTGGTTATTGGGCATTTGTGTGTCTTTAGAGAAGCATTTATTTAATCTTTTCCTCATTTTTGAATTGGCTTTTTATTGTTATTGTTGTATTAATTTCTATAAATTTTGGATATTAATTTACTGTCAGATGTGACTTGTGAATATTTTCTCCCATTCTGCGGTCTGTCTTTCACTTTTTTTTTTTTTTGTACTGGGGATTGAACTCGGGACCTTGCGCTTGTGAGGCAGGAGGTGGAACCACTGGGCTAAATCCCCGGCCCAGTCTTTCGCTTTCTTGAGAATGTCTTTGCAGCACAAATATTCTTAATTTTGGCGAAGTTCCATTTACCTATTTTTCATTGATTGTCTGTATTTTTAGAGCCCTTATCCGTAAAGTTATTGCTAAACCCAGTGTCCTGAAGATTTTTCCTAATGGTTTTTCCTCAGTTTCATAGTTTTAGCTATTAAGTTTAGATCTTTGATCCATTTTGAATTAGTCTTTATATATGGTATAAGGTATGGATCTAACTTTTTTGTATTGATCTTTGGTTTTTTTTGGTACCAAGGATCGAATTGAGCACCTTGAGCTTGCAAGGCAGGCACGGCACCACTGAGCTAAATCCTGGGCCCTGATCTTTGTTTCTTTATGTTCACTTATTGCTAGTGCCCTGTGTTCTTTCATTTCAACTTGAAGCTCTCCCTTTAGTGGTTCTTGTAGGGCTGGTGGAATGGTAATAAACTCTCTCAGGTTAAAGCTTAAGGTTAAATCTTAGGGTCTTCTCAGGACTTTTCTGAGCATGCATCTTGCCTGGAGGATATCCATGGTTTCCTGGATTCCCCTGAACAACCAGGTATTTTTGAATGTCTTAATTTCACAAAGAAATTGCCTCAGTTTTCTTCCTGCACAGTCTATAGAATATCTGAGTTGCAATCATTCTCTCCAGGCTTTGGTTGGGTTTTTAGTTCTACTTTCTGTGTTCTTAAGCAACTGCTTTTCTGGCCCAAGGTCTGAGTTATGCAAGCTGATGCAATCCCCTTGTGTTGGTCCTTCAGGTAGCTCCCAAACCGGTTAGAACAGACCGGGAATAAGATCTGCTCTGTTTCTTCTAGAACCAAGGACCAGTGTCCCACACTGACCACACGGGCTGCTACATCTTCAAGATGCTGCCAAGCAGGGAAGGAGGTGAACAAGGGCAAGTGAAAGTGCCACAAAGCTTCCCCACCATTTCAAGTTGCTTTTTTTCTTGATTTACCTTTCTTGTGGCTGCTCTATATCTTTGGCTATTTTCCAGAGTTCTGACAGCTTCTGCGTAGTATTTGGTGTTTCTGTGGGGAAACTGCACTGCCATTTTGCTGACATCATTCCCAAGCTATACTTTAGATAATTGCTTTAAAAAAAAGCTTTTTACTGTACTACCATAGCCTTGGGAACTGGGTTACACACACAAAATTCACTTTTACTGAATCCTTAAACTGGTGGATAATACTTGCTTTTTGTGGAATAAGTTGAAAAGCCATGTGTACCCCACTAAGATGTACCCCAAAAGTCTCATGTGTTCACAGGTAGGGCTTTCCAAAGATGATTAAATCAGAAGGGCTCTAATTTCATCAGTGAATGAATCCATTGATGAGATTGTAATTTAATGCCATTATTGGGTGTAATAGAAACTTAGAAAGTGGTACCTCATTGGAAGGAATGGCCCATGGGGAAATGACCTCAAGGATTATTTTGTCCCTGGCCCCTTGTTCTCTGGCTCTTTCTCTGTTTCCTGGCTGCCATGAGGTAAGCAGCTTTGGTCCACTACACCCACTACAATGTTCTGCCTCATCTCAGGGCCAGAGCAATGGAACCAGCAAACCATGGACTGGAACCTCTGCAACCATGAGCCAAAACAAACCTTTCCTCCTTTAAGTTGTTTTTGTCTGGTATTTTGTCATAGGGACAAAAGGCTGACTAACACACCATGGGATACCGACCTAAGTCAAACAAATGAGCCAGTCTCATAAGTCGTGCTTTTACCTATGCATGGTTGTACATGCTATATAAATGCCATCTACATTGTAATGGGAGGGTTGGTAAATTTAGTCTTCATTTACAATTAGAATAAACGAGCACTTTCTAAATGTTTGCATCAATGTTCTAGTTGGTCCTTTAGATTTGTCCTAGTGAATGGTTTCATCTGTTCTGGAGGTGGTTTCCTGACACATGAAGTTTACAAAGTCATGTCCAGGATCAGGAGAGATGATCATAATTAATTGGTGTTTGTCTGGGGCACGGAAGTAATGAGTGGTGATATGTACTTATTGCTATGTAATGGCTTAGCCCCCAAATTAGTGACTTCAACAACACTTGTTAACTCTCACAGTTTCTGGAGCAGCGGTATGGAAGCAAGTTGATTGGGTGGTTTGGGTTCAGGTCTCTTATGTGATTATGATACAGATATGAGCTAGGATTATAATCATCTGAAGGCTTGACTGGGGCTATAGCAGTGATGGCGAACCTTTTAAAGCTTTCAGTGATACAAATAGCCTGCTGTAGCATACATGCCATAGGTTTTCCACCACTAGGCTAGAGGATCCACTACCATGATGGCTCACTTGCATGACTGGCAAGTTGATGTTAGTTACTGGCACGCGGTTCAGCACTTCTCTACCAGGGCCTCTTCTTTAGTGCTGCATAAGTGTCCTTACAACATGGCAGTCAGCTACCACAGAAGTAGGCATTCCAAGAGTGATCCAGACAGAAATTATCATTTTTGAGACCTAACCTCAGAATCACATAGCATCATTTTTGCAATTAATTTGAAATAAGACTTTTCTTAGCAAGAGAGCACTGTGTTCTCTCTAAGGTTAGACATGTTTTCAGAGCTGAGTGAAAGTGTTGTTTTGACAGCCCTTTTCTGCTTAAAGCAGTAGGGTTGTTTACTTGGGCTGGAGGATAGCTTTGTTAAAGACATAGTCATGGTCCCAGAGTCAGGGTTGCCTAGCAACTGGTCTACGCCACACTACAGTTTCAAAATGGGCTAGGCAACAAGTACCTACCTGGGGGGATTTCCAGATGACAGTCTTGCTCTCACTCTGTCTGTCATACTGCTTCTGAAATCTGAGTCATACAGATGCAAGATTAATTGTTCACCAAGGATTCCCCTAAATCCTCTTCTTCAAAAAGTTGCAAAGAATACTTGTTGGTTGAGTATGTTTCTTTAGATACTACAGAGAGTTGACCACTCTGGATTATTGAAAACATCTAATCTTAGTTTCACTGAGTGTTACTAAAGAAGGAAGATGTGTGCAATGATCATTATATCAACAAAGAGAATGCATTTTAAAAATTGCAGTTGTCATTAGAAATGTTATTACCAAACTGGGCATGGTGGTGGAAGCCTGTAATCCCAGCACTTGGGAGGCTAAGGAGGCAGGAGAATCGCCATGAGGTGGAGGCCAGCCTGGGCTATACAGTGAATTCAGGGCCAGCCTGAACTACAAAGGGAGACCCTGTCCCAAAACACCCCCTCCCCCAAAAAAACCCAGAACAAACAAACAAAAAAAGAAATGTTATGACCAAGGAAAGAAAGCATAGATAAACAAATAAACAAAAGACTGGAGGGGTTGGACATGATACAAACATTTAAAAGACAATTGAATTTATGATTTATTCATGTATTAAACATTTAAGAAGTGACTATTGTACTAGACTGTGTAGCAAGAAAATAAAATGATGGCTACCTGCCTTCTTAAACTTTATAGTGTGGGTAAGGAGGAGATAATAAGATAGCCCCAAATGTTGTGTGATTAAAAACTATAAGTGTTTGAGAATCAGAGCATGTAGAGGGAGAAATTGAGGTAAGGGAGAGTCTGGAGAGAAGGATGTGCTTGCAAAGGGGACCCTACCATACTGCAGGGTGCTGAGGAAGTATGCAGTACACACTCCAGGTACTCCTGAAAGCAGATCTCTATAGCAACATACCCTTCCCCTACCAATGGAAGCTAGGTGGCAGATCATATTTTTGAGGTTATAATTGTGAACCTGTGAATCTTTGTGGGAAAACTTCTGTTGACATTGGCCCTGCTTTGCATTATTTATGATTTTTTTTAAAGCAGTATTGATTTTATTATAAAGAAACTATTTTTCCTTGGAGGATTTGTTGATTTACATTTGTGACAGTTACAGCCCCAATGTAACCACTACTGATGGTGGTCACTGAATCCTTCTATCAGATGTTTTTATTAGCTACTGTGCATTACGTGTTCAGGAACTCAATATTAAATGGATTTATGTTCAGATCAGATTAAAAGTGTGGGTCAGAGATTAAGCATATTTTCTCTATTTCAATCTTCAGACAATCTTTGTGGTTAAATACAAGTTTAGCAGGTGAATACCAATTTATGACAGTTTGGATCTTTAACAGGAATTTATGCAAAGTAGATACTGATCTTAAAATACTGCCTCTTTAAAGGTACGAAGTCTTAAAGGTCCAAAGGTGTAGGGGTGGTGAGAGGGGAAGGGGAAAAGGAAGAAGGGAAAGGAAAAATTATGAGAAAAGAAAAAAAATGGAAATGAAATCTATGTAAATAGGGAAGGGTGGAGGGGGTGAAGGGTGCACGGGTAATGGGGAAAAAAAATAAGAACTAAGATACGTCATGTCCAGGTACAAGCACCCAATAAAAAATGTAAATGTATTGTGTACCTAAAATGTACCAATAAAAGAATTTTTAAATGAAGGTACTAAGTCTTTTCAACTGGCATTTCAGAGTAACTTTGATGAAATGATGTAGAGGAAAAGTTGGAAGTTTACCTTTTGGTAATGATAATGATATCTTCATTGCTGTTAATTGCAGAACTATAGTTAACTTTAACTAGTTAATTCAAACACCAGACACATTTGCAGGGCACTTCTAATATTATGGAGGAAGTCAGTCACTCATTTTTATCTGGAATTTTTGGAATATTTAGTTCAAGAATCGTTTCAAATTATGATTGCTCATTTTGTTTTCTGTTAAGATTAACTGGTTATAGCTAGAATAGCAAAAGCAATTCTGGACAACAGAGACATGGCTGGGGGTATCACAATACCCAACTTAAAGCTATAGGACAAAGCTACTGTGATAAAAACAGCATGGTACTGGCAAAGAAACAGACCTGAGGATCAGTGGAATAGATTAGAAGATGCAGGAACAACTTCAGACATACTCAGCCACCTCATCTTTGACAAAGGAGCCAACCACCCTCATTGGAGGAAAGATAGCCTATTAAATAAATGGTGTTGGAAAAACTGGGTTTCAACCTGTCAGAGATTAAAACTAGACCCATATCTATCACCATGCACTAAATTAAGATCTAAGAGGAATAAAGAACTAAATATTAGGACAGAAACACTAAACTTGCTGGAAGATAAGTTAGGTAGAACTCTTGAAGATATTCGCATAGGAAAAGACTTTATGAACAAAACCTCAATAGCACGGACACTAGCAGAAAGAATCAACAACTGGGATCTCATCTTATTAAAAAGCTTCTGCACTGCAAGAGAAACCACCAACAGAGCTAACAAACAACCTACAATGTGGGAAAAAAATTTTAGCAGCTGTAACTCAGACAAAGGGCTACTATCCAGAATACATAAAGAATTGAAAAAAATCAGACCCCGCAAATTCATAGACCCAATTCAAAAATGGGCATCTGAAATGAACAGACATTTCTCAGACAAGGAAGTAAAAGCAGCAAACAAATAGATGAAAAAATGTTCAACATCACTTGGCATTCAAGAGATGCAGATGAAAACAACACTGAGATTCTACCTCACCCCAGAAAGAGTGGCTGCTATCAAGAAATCAACCAATAACAAATGCTGGCGGGGTTGTGGGGAGAAAGGAACCCTTCTCCATTGCTGGTGGGAGTGCAGACTGGTGCAACCACTGTGGAAGTCAGTGTGGAGATACCTCACAGAACTAGGGCTGGAAGTCCCATTTGACCCCACTATTCCCCTGCTGGGTATTTTCCCAAAAGAATTAAAAGAATCATACTACAGAGATATATGTGTACCCATGTTTATTGTGGCACAGTTTGTAATAGCTAAAGCTTGGAAACAGCCCAAATGCCCATCACCTGGAGACTGGATAAAGAAAACGTGTTTGTTTGGTTTTTTATAAAATGGAGTACTACTCAGCCATAAAGAATGAGAAACTAGAGTCATTCATAGCTAAATGGATGTATATTGAGGCCATACTCTTAAGTGAAATAAATAAGACACACATGTGTAAATACCGAATAGTTCCTCTAGTGTGAGAAACTGAGAGTTAAATAAGGACTAAAAGGATTAATAACGAATAATTAAATAGGAAAAGGTACAAAGGGGTAGGGGTGGTGGGAGGAGATGGGGAAAGGAAAGAATGGAAAGGAAAAATTATGAGAAAAGAAAGAAAATGGAAATGAAGTCTGTGTAAATAGGGAAGGGTGGAGGGATGAAGGGTGCACAGGGAATGGGGAAAAAATAAGAACCAAGATACATCGTGTACAGGTACAAGCAACCAATGGTAAATGTGAACGTATTGTACACCTAAAATGCACCAATAAAAGAATTTAAGAAAAAAAAAGGATTAACTGGTTAATATTTAGCTAGGCTTAGTAGAATAGCAAAGGCAGATAGGAAATGACATTATATTAAAAGTGATGCAGCTGGGTCATTGATAAAGTTTTGAATAAATAGGATTCTTGAAATAGATAAGGAAAATGAAGGGATTAGAAAAGACAAGCTTGTGAAAGGTTTGATAGGTTCAGCCTATCAATCAAATTATGTGATTTTATATTTAAAGTAGTAAAAGCAAACACTGATGTTTCTCACCTACTTTATTTCGCTCTTGTTTTTATCTTTGTGTAAAGTTCAAATTTCATAGTACAAAATGTGTTCTTGAGATCTGGGGTTTTCTCCAAAATAGATAGTCATTGGTTTCCTAATGCAATGCCAAGAACATCGATAAATAAAGTTTAATTATTCATTACTTTTTATTCTTTAGCTGTGTCTTAAAAATGCTTCCTAATTGTGCTAATGGGATTCACTCAGAAGTGACATATACTGTACCATGTTCTTCCTTTAAAATTTGAGTTATCTAAGGCATTATTTCTCCTCCAAAGATATTTTACTTTATTCTCCTCAGTGGACATGTAGAGAGTTCGTACATTATTTTTATTAATTTGCTGGGAAAAGAAATAGTTGCAGAATCTTCTGAAGCCTGGGTCTCTTTGGAATTGGACAGACCTGAGTTCACTTTATGTTACACTTTGTACTTCCATCTTTCTGCTGCGTGGTTCTGTAACCTTGAGCAAGTCACTTAGCCTCCTAAAGACTTCATCATTAATCTGTAGAATAAGAGCAATAGTATCTACCACATGGGATTGCCTTTAAGGACTAAATTCAACTTAAATGTTCAGTCCAATTCCAAAGACTTAAGTAACCCTTCAGGAAAAAGCTGCCACTGCAATTATCATTGCTGGCAGTTGTTCTGGGCTGAATGTTGTGTCCACCCCAAATTTCATATATGGCAGTCCTAAATCTCAGTACCTCAGAATGTAATGTATTTTGGAGATAAGTCCTTTAAAGAGCTAATAAAGGAAAACTGAGGTCTTTGGGGTAAGTAGGCCCTAACCTCATAGAACTGGTGTCTTGATTAGACAAGGAGAACAGGACACAGACTCGCACAAAGGAAAGACCATGTGAAGACACAGGGAGAGGGAACCATTTTCAGGCCAAGGAAAGAGGTCTCAAAATAAACCAGCACCGCTGATGCCTTGATCTTGGACTTCCAGCCTCCAGAAATCGGAAAGAAAAAAAAAATCTGGTGTTGAAGCTGCCCAGTCTGTGGAACTCTACTATGGCAGCCCTAAAGCATGAATACAGTACTATTGACAGAAAGGGTGTATTTCTAAATTACATGTTAAACAGTGTAAGAATGTGTCCAAAAGCTGCTTTGTTTGCTGTTTCTACCATTTTCATGCATGGGGGAAAAATTAATGAACTGCGTGTACTGTTCTGTGTCCCTGAACTGCCATCTGTGGGATTTGGCGAGCCAAGTTAGCCTCAGATGGAATACAGACACAGTGATCATGTAGGGTGTAACCAAGATGCCCTGGAGCATAATATCAACAGCTTAATGATTTAGCATTTGCTATGTCAATACTGATTAGAGCAGTAGGGCTGGGGTGAGTGAGGCAGAGGTGAATCAGTGAGTTTACATTTAAACACCACTCTGTTAGAATGGTTTGTGTTTTTCTCCAAGCAGAGCTAAAGATGTTGTTTGTTCATTAGTGTTATTATGGGAACCATATCATTAAACACTATAGATTTTATTTCCTTAAACCAGATGGAGGCATGATTTCAGTGGAGCTGGGGATGACGAATTGCTGGTTGTTCTTGGTGGACAACTCCTCTGAACTATTTCTCTTCAGCAACCTGTGCCCTTTTTCATTCCTGCTCCCAAGCCCATCCTTGCTGGCTACTCATCTGCCCTTTGCCTTACCTTTCTGCCTTCTGGGCGGTCCGCGTGGGCATATAAGCAAAGCAACAAATCCATTTGTTCTCCTTTCATTCAGCCCAGCCTCACCAACGGTGAAGGCCGGACACAAGGAATTCCTGGCCCCACTACCCTCTGAAACTTCTGCAGCCGTGGTGAAGCCCTGAATGCTCCTCTGTTATTACTCCTCTGTTATCACTGGAAGGAAAAAAGATACTTAAATCACTGAAACAACTATCTTGGAATAGTTAGGAGGGTGGCCGTATGTAAGTGAGAACTAGGTTCGTGTTTGTAAATTGAAGCAGTCTGAATTTTGCAGGCTTTTCAGGTAGAGTTGTTCAAGTTCAGGGTCCACACCTGAGAGTCAGTGCCTCTGCCATGAATTTTGCATCCCAGGCTCTCTGTTTGCTTCACCCCTATCCTGTTCCTATTATCCACTCTTGGCAGTACCTAATTGGGAAACAGCTGGCAAGGAAGCACTGCAGTTTGCAGAGACCCAGCCCCAGCGACATGGAGCAGAGGGAGGCTTAGAGCTGAAAAGCAAGAGCTCAGTAGCCTACACACTCACAGACACTCTGTCATTTACTTTAAACCTTGTGCAACGAGAGGTAGAGCCGGTATGGTCACCCGTATTTACTTTACTCAGTTCAGTGACCTGCTAAGGTCCAAGAACTGGGGCTGGGCTCCAAGTCTTCATGCTCCACTGCTCCCTGATCATGCCAAGGAGGCAGCTGCCCACCTGGGTGATCCATAGCCTGATGGATCAAGAGCTCTTGGTCAATTCCCCTGCTGGGGATCTTCCCCAAAGAATTAAAAGAATCATACCACAGTGATATATGTGCACCCATGTTCATAGCAGCACAATTTGTAATAGCTAAAATTTGGAAGCAGCCCAATTGCCCATCAACTGGAGACCGGATAAAGAAAATGTGGTTTTTAAAAATAAAATGGAGTACTACTCAGCCATACAGAATGAGAAATTAGAGGCATTTATAGCTAAATGGTGCACATTGAGGCGATACTCTTAAGTGAAATAAACTGGACACACATGTGTAAATACCCAATAGTTTCTCTAGTGTGAAAAACTGAAAGTTTAAATAAGGACTAAAAGGTATAATGGATAATGTGAAATAGGAAGAAAAGGTCCAAAGGGGAAGGGGAAGTGGGAGGGATAGGGGAAAGGAATGAGGGGAAAGGAATAAATACCAGAAAAGGAAAAAATGGAAACAAAGTCTTTGTAAATTGGGAGGGGTGGAGGGGTTGAAGGGAGGGCAGGGGAAGGGGGAAAAATAAGAACCAAGATGGATTATGTAAAGGTGCAAATTTCCAATGATGAATGCCATCATATTGTATACCTAAATGTACCAATAAAATTAATTTCTAAAAAAATGCTCTTGGTCAAGAGCATTATGAAGACAGGTCACACATTTGCCAGACTCGGCCTGCACAGCCAGCCTTAGCCAACTTCTGACTACACTTTTCCTCATATCCCACATCGACAATTTCATTTGTGGAGAAGTTTTATTATTGCTGCATATCTGAGGGGCTGTCCGGAATGTTCCATGCATTGCATTTTCCAGAGAACAGATTAATAGGAAGTCCTTTATTTCTGCCGGCGAGAGTCACCTGAATCTCTCTGGCACAGTGGCTGCTTTGACCTGAGTTTTGTGCTTCATCTTGTTTCCAGGGAAGGTGTGGAAAGTCCAGGTGAGAGGGACACATTTCCAACCCAGAGCATCTCGGTGAGGAAGGGCCAAACTAGAAGTTGTGTCCAATGTCCTGGTGGTGACTGTGACTTTGCCTGGCTTTGCTTTTGAGAAGTTGCTTGGCCTGATGGAGCTGTAAATTAAAAACAAAAATTGACCTTGGGCCTGTTAGGTGATTTTACATTGATTTTATAATTTGGGCCAAAACCTCTTAACATCTTGGCCTGCCTGTTTCCAACTTACACAATCAGGCACATTTCTGAGTTCTGAGGGTTGGCCGGGGCTACAGTGCTGGGGAAAGAAAACCAAGCAAACAATGGTGTTTCGTGCTGAGTCCTCAATCCATGTGCCAGCGTTCTTGAGCAACTGTTAGAGAGCCAAGTGCAGATGGCAGGAGTCTTGGGGCTTGGAATTCCCCTGAAGGTTCTCATAGGGCCTCTCCTAAGCGAGCTGCTTCCTCTAGCCTTGGAGTTGGGAGGAGCCAGAGGCACTTGGTAAATGGGGAAAGAGAGTCTAAGAGACATGTTGGTGCTGGGGTGGGGGACCTTGGCCCTTGCTTTGTTGGGGTTGGACCTCGGAAAGAAGTGCTGTGACATAAATAGCCTGCTGAGAGGAGCATTTTGATGGGGTTCCTTTCTAGATAGGATGGAAGTTTCCCTGGAAGGCCTGGGGTCCTCACAGTAGGAAGGTAGGCTCAACTAGCATGTGATTTCCTAATCCTATTCCCAGCTGCTTTAGGGGCTTTGGCCACTCTCTCCAGAGACAGCCAGGGTTGGGCTTCAGGTACAGAGAAGCCCAAAGGGAGAGGAGAAGCTCCCCACAGGTCCTTCCTCGGGCCCTAATGTGATCTAGCTGTAAGTCACCTCATAGGCCCCTGCAGGCCTGCCATCCCAAACCACTTGTGCCTGGGCCGAGAATGAGCATAGTGGAACTCACCGTGATGAGAATGAAAATGCTTGCACTAGAGGTAGGGCTATTGTTGCCAAGATAATCTTGGAGCCTATTTGCTCATTCAGTCATTTACACAAGCACAGCTACTGAGGCCGACTATGTATTAGGTTGGATGCCAGACCCTGGTGACAGAAAAGCAAGCAGGCCATTGTCACTGCTGGACCCACAGTGGGGAGAATAAACAAGCCTAAGTACAGTCCAGTGTAGTGCGGGTGGCTATGAGAGTGTGGTCCACAGGTCAAGGGACATACTGGAGAGGAGGGTCTTCTAATTCAAGCGTGCAACAGAGCAAGTGGCAGTGAAACTGAGTGTGGCCCTCGTTTAAACCCGGGCTCCCATTTGGTTTATCTGTGCACCTACTTCTTGTCCTTCTGTCCAGTCTGGCTTTCCACATGTGTGCCTCTGCCGCCTTCCTTTGCCGACGCCCATCCCTGCCCACCCTCCACATCTAGCCTGTTTTACTTCTAAAGCTTTATTTTAGAGGGTTGACTCTGGGACAGGCACTGAACTAGGAGCTCCACAAAGAGCGTTTCATAGCAACTCTATGAGATGATGGAATCAGACTGCACGGGTTCAAATCCCAGCACAACCACTTTGGGCCAGGGGATCTTGGGCACGTTAGCAAATGCCCTGTGTCTCTGTTTCTGGAAGTGTGCACTGAGGGTGATGACACTGCCACTCTGTAGTGTTGGTGTGAAGATTAATGAATTAATTAAGTGACATGCCTGCAACCACACCAGGGATATATATATATATATATATATATATATATATATATATTTTCAGTGTCATGTAATACTAACACCATTACTAATACTAATACTAGTGCTAGTTAATATGGATATTAATACTACGTAATACTAATATCAATGCTAGTATCTGCTAATACTGTGGTAACCTCCTGCTATGGTGTGGCTGTGGTTTGTCTCCCACGAAAACCCGTGTTGAGATTTGGTTCCTCAATGTGGTAGCATCAGGAGGTGAGACCTAGGCCATGGGGGCACTGCCATCACGAGTGGGTTACTGTCTTTCTTGAGAGATGAGGTTAAATCTCACAGGCTCAAATGAGCTACTGTTGGAGTGGGTTGTATCAAACCCAGGACCTTCTACATGCACTGCTCACTGCTCACTGCTCCTGCCTGGGCTCCTGCCATGCAGTGCCATCCACCATGTTATGACACAGCACAAGTCCTCCCCAGATCCAGCTGCCTGGTTGTGAACAAGGTTTCTGATTTCCTGTCAAGAGTTCCTTTTCCCTGACACCCCAGCCAGGCTGTGCTACAGCTGCTTCTGACACCAACTTTGGTCTCACCTGGCCTTGCATCCGAGGTCATGACTTCCCATCGAGTTAGACTCAGCTGTATCCCCTGACCTGCTGCAGCAGTCATCGGTCTAGCCCACACAGTCCACATCCAGGCCAGGCAGCATACAAGAGTCTGGGCTTCCGTAAGCACTCTGTGCCTGAGCTTGTGCAGAGAAGGTCAGCTGGAGAGGCTGGGCGGAAGGCAGCAAGCATCAAGGAGAAAACTAAGAGAACCGTGATGCTTCTGGAAGAGCTGCTGGTGGAGTCAGAGGACAGCAGGCAGGTGGACTGAGATGCACAGGGGTTCCAGTGAAGGTCACACTTGGCTTTGGGGGGCTTCTTATCAGGACTGTTGAAAGCACTGACTAAGGCACTGAGTGCTGAGGTTGAACGGAAATGCCGGCAATTGTCCTAAGGCTTCCCGAGCATCTCCCTGAGCTGTGTGAATCTGTCCAATGATCATTTTGGCTGTTGGGTAGGAAAATGAAGGAGGTGGGAAATTGGGGAGTTGGGAACTCCAAGTTCTGGTCTCTCCCTGTGACCTTGGGAGAGATGCTTCTTTTCTGTGAGTCTGTTTCTTCATCTGGAAATGAAGAGAAATTCTGCAGGTTTCCTCTGAGGAATATTTTGAAGAATACATTTTCCAAGTAGAAAGCAGCAGATATAGAGAAAGAGAACCAGACCTTCAGAAAACAGGCAGCTCCACTGTTTTCAAATCCACTATTTTTTTCCATCTAGGGGCATTTTCCTACAGAGGGGCTAGGTTGGTCCCAATAGACTCAATATGGTATTTATCCACTCCTGAAAAACAGGAATCAAAATTCTTTATTTATTTATTTGAGTTTCATTTGAGACATTTCAGCCCATTATCCTTTAGCTGGACCACTGAGCCTATGCTCAGAAATGAGAACCAGCTGACTAAATAAACAGTTGCATGTGGAAAAGAAGCAGGAAATACCGTTCCAAAACTAATAATATTAACGAACTTCCAAGGGACATACAATCCATAATTAATGACAATTTGGAAAAAAACCCATAAAAGCTTGGAATTTGAAATATGACTCTGAGAACAGCCTATTTTTTTTTCCCTTTAGAATCTTCCACCCTTTTTTCTGGCCCCTTCCCCCTTCTGACAGCCACATTTATTGAAATTCTTTTAGTAATGTCTGTAGTCTGCAGATTTAAATCCTGAGATTTGATACTTTTTGCCTAAACTCCCAGAGTAGCCGGCTAGGCAACTGGGGCTTATTAAAACTGTCAGTAAGTCATGTGACCAGACATAAGGATTCTGGGTAAATTGACAGGAGAGATGGTTTCGTCCCCAGAGACAAGGTCTGGCAAGGATGACCTTGGGAACAGATTCAATGACACAGAACTGTATGCCAGGGCAGATCCCAGTAAACATGCCTAGGCCAGAGTCAGCAGTTCACTGATGCGTGGGGAATGGGCTCGGGCTCCTGGACCCATTCTGTAAGAGATGCACCCAGTCTAATCCCTCGGGTGGCTTACTCCCAAAGCAGCCCAGGCAGTCGGACATGCATGTGCAACTCAGCACCATGTGCCAGGCTGTCATGTCATTCCCCACTCTTTCCCTCAAGTGTGCTTGTGATAGGAACATCTAGCTGACCCATGAAGGTGACAGTTTGTTTGACTCCTTGATCCCCAGAGTGTAGACTTGCTGTTGGGAAGCAGCCCACTAGCCAAGGGTGACATCTCCCAGGCCCCATGTCATTAATTCTGGCAAGTGAAATACGACCCTGTGTGATGTATCACTTCCTGGCTGGGGTGGTTAATTATCCAAGGTGTTTTGCCTCACTTTCTTTCCCACTTTGTATTGCTAAGTGACAGGGCCCTGGGTCCCGGTCACTGGTGGAGGAGGCACCCAGGAGAGCTGCCTGACTTGCAGAGTTTGATTCGAGTCTGTGTGTGCAGGAAATAAACATCTGGGTTGTGTTACAGCAGTGAGACGCTTGAGCAGCTTTTGTTAAGCAACGTGCCTTATTGTAGTGGGATTTCCCTCACTCCTACATTATTCTGTGCAGAGAGCACCCTCCTGCCCACGTGCCTGGTGGCCTCCCCTGAGTCCCTGTGTGTATCTCTCCACTCTCCCAAAGGCACTCTCCCCTTGAGAGGAGCCAGGAGAATGTGGGTGGAAGCTAAAAGCACGGTCTCTGAGTCAGACTGTCCAAGTTCAAATCCACAGGCCAGGTGCTGAGCAAATGATTTAATTTCCCTGAGCTTTCTTGTAACTGAGGGAGATTACCATGCAACATTGTTATAAGGATTAAAGAGAACACTCTGGGTAAAGGACCTGGCACAGGGCTGGCACGGAGAAGGTCGGTGTTATTATCATTCTCACTGACAGGGCCTGTGCAGAGCCACTGCACTGAGTCAGCACTGGCAACCCTCTTCCCCTCTCCTCTCTTCCCTGTGTAACTCCCAGCAGCTTTACCTCTTTGATATTTCTTCTACCTCTGTTCCATGGATACCATCTTCTATTCTTTACCTGAACTGCTATGGCAAATTTAGAAATTTATAACTGTTTCTCAGAATGAGAGTGTGGGTGGACCCAAAGGTGTGTTGGTTGAAAATCTGTCTGCTTGGGAGGATGTTCGGTCCTGCTCAGAAGCAGCTGTCCCAACATGGAAGCACGACAAGGCTCTGTGTCGCCAGTCAGCCTTTGGGAGCTTTGGGGATGCAGAGGCTAACAGGGAGAGGGTTCCCCTGGGAGTTCAGAAGGAAGGAAGCCAGAAAAGTTGTGGCATAGGAGGAAGCAGAAGGAAGAGAGGAGGACTGTGTGCTGTAGTACCCAGTCAGCGATACACTGTCAGCCACCTGCCTCTGAAGGTGCCCCATCAACTCAGAAAGTATGCAAGAAAAAAAATCACAACTGTACTGAACCAACATGTATAGACCTTTTTGTCTTCTCATTATTCCCTAAATGATGCAATATAATAACTATGGGCATGGGATACATTGCATTGGGTCTTAGAAGTAAACTAGAGATGATTTAAAGTATAAGAGGAGATGCACTCAGGTTCCATGCACATATGTCATTTTATATGAGGACCTTGAGCGTTCTCAGATCCTGAGATCCAATTCCCAATGGATACTGAGGGATAGCTGTGTCTCCTTTTTGCTGGTCAAACTGTTCAAATAAAGGACTTAAGTTATTTTGAATCATTTTTCTATGGGTAGACTTTTATGCATCACGGTTGTACTATGAGACTGGACTGTGTGGGCTACAGCTTCGGTAAGTTCATAATAAAATTTTGCATATGTGAATATTCACCTTAGAATCACATTCAAAAGCTTGTTTTAAAAGTGGGATGAACCCTTGCAGCATTTGTCTGGCTGAAGGACAGGATAGGGGAGCCACAGGGGCCATGGGCTGAGAAGAGCCCTAGGGGAAAGGCCAGCACACCCCACTCCCTACTCTTAGCTCTGCTGGATGCCACACAGGCAGAGACAAATGCAGACAGCATGACAGATGTCCCCCAGCCCACAGAATCTCAGCTGTCTACTTCCTGCCTTGATAAATAAACCAGCACTGTCATCTGAAATTCTTGGCTATCAGTGTCAAACTGTAGCTGTTGGCTCCATTTCCAGTCCCGATCAGAATTCAGATTAGTTCTGAGTCTACACATTTTGAAGCCCTGACTGAGCCTTTCTTCAAAAAATGTTTGCAAATGGCTCCTCTGTGACAGTTCCTCTTCCACTGCTGCCATTCTCATGAGGTTGGACAGAATTCCTCATTTTAGAGAGGAGGAAACTTGAATCTATAGATCGTCCTTCTCCAATCAATGCTTCGCTAATGGAGATGGTTAGTAAGAGAAGCTGAACCTGGCTGGTGGGACAGAGGGATTAGCATTTCCCTGGGAATTAAGAGTGAAGGAAAAGCATGCTCGCTGTAGGCCCTGAGTGCCAAAACTTCAGAGTTTGGGAAAGTAGGCTCCCTTACTCCAGCCGAGCAGAAGATATCACGTGTCCTTCGGGTGCAGGAACCAGGGGACAGCCCACTTTGCTGTACCGTTACCTGTGTGTGGCTTCTTGGAAAGCACTGAGCTCATGATGTTACTCAGTGGTCCTTAGCATGTGGGCTTGGGGGTGACCAACACTTCACAAAGGAGACTCAGTCTTTGTTTTCTATTAAAATGCAGATATCTCTGAATAATAGGCACTATTGTGGGAGAGTGGAGAACTAGATTCCAATACCAGAACCAAATTCTGGTTTCAGCTCTGCTGCTGGTTCCTGAGAGACTGTGGATAGCAGATCCACAGCCTGTGGCTCTCAGGACACCACTCCTGGGGGCCTCCAAATGCTGCCAGGACTCTAAGGGAAACAGAAAGAATGAATGTCCCCTCTGGAAAAGGGCCTTTTCCAGAGAGCAGTTTAAGGGGAAAGTGACATGGAGAGGATCTGAGAGACAGGGGCCCTGACAGGGAGCTTTGCAGTTTGGCTCAGGGCTGCCCAACGCAGAAAGGTCAGTCTTCACAGCTTGGAAACCACCGGCGCTGCCTCCTTGGATAATGACCTTCTGAGCCCTCCTGAGAGGGAAGCCTTGCTCAAAGAATCCAAAGCTTCTGTCTCTTGAAAGGAAGCTAGAGAAGCGACTCTGGGATCACTCTTCCCTCTTGCATGGGGCTAAGGGATAAGCTGACTAAAAAGGGGAGATGCCTACTGGGTACTTAATAATACTGCTTGCCAATTTTCTCCAAATAAGATGAGATGGTTTTACTTTTTGTTTGATTCCCGAGGGCCTACCACTATTTGAGTTTGAGTTACCTCTTTTTCAGAGAAAGAAGGAATCTTTTTAGTTTGCATGAGAGGGAGCTGAACTGTACTAGGCAGGAGAACTTCACTGTAGTCAGTTATGTTTAACACTGGTGAGTGGTTTGTGTTGGCTTTGAGATTAATTTAGGGATTGAGAGAGCCACACAATTGCTATGTTTTCTGACAGCCCAGTAATTTTGTAACTCGTTGTTTTACCTGGGGAATTTCCATCTTCATGAGTCCTATTTTCACCAAGAATAACCCAGAAAATTCAGATGTCAAACTCCTTTGTCATTGAAGCACAGGTATAATAGCTGGGTTCTCCAATCAAGTTACTCATGCAAAATTTTGAATTGGAGGTGAGATCCTGAAGGAAGTGACTTTGCAGGCAAGACAATCAGCAGAGGTTTCTTTTGGAAAAAATGTGACCAAAGAGGGCCGGGAATTCAGCTCAGTGGTTCCGCCACCTGCTGCACAAGCGCAAGGTCCCGAGTTCGATCCCCAGTACCAAAAAAAAAAAGTGACCAAAGAGTAGCCATGCTGGCACACTTTTCCTTGGCGGGGCAGCTACAACAGAACAGCTTCCTCATTAGGGAAGTTCTGTAGCACAGATTTTGACATTGTTCTATGAGGTTGATTCCCCTAGCACCCACTAATTCTGCAAACTAGCCAATTTCTTGTCAATAAACTCCTTTCTGCTTGATTACTAGAGTCTGCCACTGTGGCTTATGGTTGAAGATGCTGAAGGTTTCAGCAACCAACTACTAACTGGATTATTCCTTGTCACTGATACTGTGAGTCCTGAGAATGCCAGCCGCAGCAGCAGTAGGGGTCTCAGCCAGACCTTTGGGAGTTTTTCTTCTCAAACCTTATCTCTCCACAAATTTCTTCCTTGCACATTAAGTCCCGGCCCCCCATATTTTCCTCTTGAGTTTGTCCTCTTGCTTTGCCAAGCTAAAAGCCACTCTTTGGGAAATGGATTGGTGAAGAACTGCTCTGAAAGCCCC